TGCAGGAAGGCTTCATTGACACTTAGTGGCCTTCCACCCTCCCGAGTTACCTAGGGTGAGGCTTAATGACGTCAACAGCACTGTTAGCAATTAGACCTTCTAAGCACAATTATCCCCATTCCACTATAAACCAAAGGTAGAGCAGGGGGAAGGAGCACAATCACGCAGCAACTATGTGGCCTGGTAAAGAGACCCGTACATTGGGCCTATTCAAGGCTCTGCCACTGGCCTGCTGGGAGACTTGGTCAAGTCACTTCACCTCTCTCTGCCTCTTTCCCATCTGTAAAATGGGGATCAATGATATAAATGTACTTTGAGATCTACTGATGAAAAGTGCTATATAAAACCTCGGTCTTTTTGTTATTACCTAGCCCCACTAATATATCAACTGCAAACCTAGGTGAGGAACAGCCTAAATGACCATTAAGTCAAGCTTTTTTTTTTATCAAAAGAGATTCACTGACAAAAAGTTTAATTACCATAGAGTTAAATAAAAGTTGTCTGGAGCTCTCTCAGGCCCTTCCAGAATGCTGAGATCTCAAGCCTCTGAAAACCAGGAAAGGAAGAACAGGAGTACTTGTGGCACCTTAGAGACTAACGAATTTATTTGAGCATAAGCTTTCGTAGGCTACAGCCTACTTCATCGGATGCACAGAATGGAACACACAGAAAGAAGATATTTATACATAAAGAGAACATGAAGAGGTGGGAGTAGCCATACCAACTGTAAGAGGCCAATCAATTGAGATGTGCTATCATCAGCAGGAGAGAGAGAAAAAAAAAGAAAAAAAGGAAAGGAAGAGTTAAGTGAGACATATTTTGGATAAATATGTATGTCACGGTGTCTGGAGTGTGGCTCACAACTCAGTGTCCCAAACTCAGGTCAGACTGTCAGAAAACAGTGAATACACCCAAACTGGTGGTATATTCTATAACTAGATTTTACCAAACCAGTAACAAGTGTGCACTCCTGAATTACTATATTAGCCTTACCATGGAGCTACACATGGTCCCCTTAGAATCTCCAGCGCATCTTGCCACTCAGACAAACTGGACTTTTGTGAAGAAAGGTTATTAAAACCAAAAATCACCACACATTAGGTTACTCCCAACACCAAAGGGTCAGTCATTTACCCCATGTAACAGATGCTCTGGATCTCACCAAAAACAACACTATAGCCAATCCGTTGGTAAAAAAAGAAATGAGAGATATTGAGAGGTTAAAAAAGGTAGAAGTCAGAGTTTGTAAGTCCAAATGATGGGAGCAATGTGGTAGCTGCTAGTTTCCCATAAGTCTCTCGGGCTGCCCAAAATGGCTTTGCGGACCTCTATCTTGTATTTGGAACACCTCCGGACAGCATCCAAATAGATGAGAGATGCAGAATCACTCCCAGGGTCCCTTCTTATAGCTGAAAACAGTCTGGAAAGCGTTACCATCACAGCATGGGTCCGTATCCCCATTGCTGAACACAGAACAACCCACGACGCATTAAGGTAAACATGTTCCTTAATTAACATAACCAACACTCCAATCTCCAATGGGTAAACATAATGTAAACACAAAGTGACAACCAGAAACAATTCTTTATTAGTTTTCATGCAGCTTACACATCAAGTAAATTCACTTTTATTTAAATGCTAACACACATTTAAATCTAAGGCTAATTAAGTATAGGCCACAGACAGATGAAAACAATATAATCAACGTCTCTCTCGATTTCTATCAGAACCAATGAATTGGCCTGAATATTGATACTCCACCCTCCTTTGATATTCATACACAAGTGAATTGCCTTATTGCTCTATTCTGAGCTAGTCTGTCTGCATGACATAACTGGAAACCTGTTTAGACAGCATCACAATTTATTCCCACTTGGGAGGTGACATACCCAGAGTCCAGTCCCCCTGCTCCAATGATTATTTATCCAGAATGGAACATCTTCAACAGGAGAGATGGGGAGAGACCCACATCAAAATATCCCATAGCCCAGTGGGTAGGGCACTTACCTGAAAGGGGGGTGGGGAAAATCTTGTTTAAATCCTCTCTCCTCCCCCCCATTCAGACAGAGGAGGGAACTGAACCTGCGTCTCCCACATCCTCAGTGAAGGCTCTAAACACCAGGCTAAAAGTTATAAAGGAGGCACTTGCAGCATCACCTCCTCCAGCCATTTCTTGCAAAGAATGGCTTAGTCACTTATCTCTGGGTGAGGGTTTCCCTGCTGTAAATCCCAAGCAGAGGGAGGCATCTACAGCTTGTATTTGGGGGCCTAAATTCCAGAGAGAGGTGGGGCTTAGAAGTACTGACGGAAGGGATGTGTCCTATCGGCTCACTTAAGCAGGGGGCTGTCTAGGATGCTTGCTTTTGTGGCACCTAACTCAGGCTTTGTGGATTTCAATGATTTTCTTGGTACCTAAAAGTTGGGCATTGCAACACAAAGACCAGTTGTGCATCTGGGGCTAAGCTCTTTCTAGGGTGCTCCAACATTTAGAAGATTGAGACAAAAGGAAAATGGCTCATCCTGCAGCATAGACTGCACTACTCAATTAAAAAAAACCCTTCACAATAGCTTGAAAAAGGCCTTGTTTTCATGATGCAGGTAGAAACCCTTATATAAAATAGCAAAGGTTGCAGGACATACCTATCCTGGTGGCATACTGATAACCCAACATGTGTTAACCCCAGTAATAATTTGCTTTGGGCCTCCTCCTGATCCACCCTGCAATGAAGTCATCATAGTTGTACAGTTGTCCTAACAGTTATTACAGCTTGCTGTCATGGAGATTGCAATGTGACAAAGAACATTGCAACTTCACTGCAGGCCAGGCTGAGAAGCAACAAATGCAAATAGCTTCCTGTCATTTGTAAACACGGCAAGAAAAATTGCACGTGAAAAGTAAATTGAGAATTGTGCACACCTAATATATTTGGCACCGATTCTTCAAATCTTAGGTTTAAAGCACTATGTCATCTGTCTTCCTACGTTAAATATATTTCAAAAAAGGATCTACAGGAGGTCTTTCACTGGAAGTTAAGCATCTCTTGCAAAAGTGAAAGTGTGGCATAAATTCCTTGCCACCCCACAGACCTTGACAATTTTATTATAGTGCAAACACAATAGCTACAAATGCACAGCATGTATATATTTTTAAGAATTAAGCTTTTTTAAAACAGGAACACAAGTTTAAGAATCAGTTTATTATTTATATTTTTACTACTTTGGTAGTACAAAAATCTTATACAAACCATATTGTTAAAAATACAGTTGATGTGCAAGACTAAGAAAAACTGACTTCAAAAAGTTTAGGCTTATTTGTTTTTTTTTATGATGACAATGTTTGTACCACTGAAAAATGCTGTTAGTAGTGTTTGTTATATACAATAAATCACACATTCACCAAATTCTTTTGCTGAAGTGGCAATACACATTTTACTTCCCACAAACATTAACCATATGTACATAAGTAGAAATTCATGTTTAATAATTACTAGATAATCTCAACTAATAAGATTTTACATGTTGAATGTACTGGAAATAACATTTTTGCATATTTCTAATGGAATCAAAATAGCAACTATTGTTAAATTAAGTAAACAATAGCATATATATTAAACATTTTCACTCTTTTGAGCATATTTACTCACAGTGTTAAGCGACAATTACTAAAATGTACTCTCATCAGAACAAAATCTCAATTTTTTAAAGTTTTTGGGATACTCTACAATTGTGCATCTTCATATTCAAAACAATGAACTGTTTAGTTTGGCTGTGTAAGTACAAAACAACCTTCACTCTAGAGTCTACATTTTCATCCAGTAATTTTAATATTAAAAATACTGTCACATATGTACACTACCTATTCTCACAATATCCTGAAATCCTGAAATTAATATACTGGCACTATTTAAATTCCTTCTGCATACATTTTAGTATGCTGTAGAGCTGTTCATGAAAACAGAGTGAAATCTGCATACCTCAGGGGGGAAAAAAGTAGGCCAGGGATTTCTCAATTTGAGTGTCTCTTTTAGTAGTTTTAAGATTATTTTGGTAGTCTGAGTTAAATCTGAGTGAAGCAAGAAATCTTATTTACACTAATAATGAAAAATCTATTAATTATTTGGATTTAATCCCAAGTAGTAGTCGAGCTCAGATAAAAGTTACTTTTGGAACTTAGTTCTTGAAAACTATAAATAAAACATTTTTTAAAAGACTTAATTTTATTTAGAATTGACAAAAAAAAATGTGTTTCTCTTGTAGGTCTGAGATGTCTGGGCTACATCTGCCACCTATGGATCAAGTAGAGCACAGTCAGCAGCGTAAACTTCCCTATATACAGTGTTGCCAACTCTCATGAGTCTCATGATAATTGTTCTCCTTAAAGCCCCAGCTCGTGGAATCAAGGGATATGTGATGATTTCAGCCTTCATTCTTAAAGGAAAAGTAAGTTTCTAGCCCCCATGGCTGTGGAGAAAGCTTCAAAATGTCACCTCCAATGCACCCTGAAGGCTCAAAAAGCGGAAGGCAAATAAAAAACCATCTATTATTTTTACATAATCTCATGATTTTTGGTGAGCCTAGCTCATGATTTTTGAACATTTGGGGTTGGCAATAAGGCTACAATAACTCACCAATGTGCCTCATTCCTGAACTTTAAGTGGCAACCTATGGGGCATTTGAGATGATAGCCAGGGGAAAGTTCTTTTGCTGTTACACATATTGATAATTAACATTGCATGCGCTGATGGAGAAACCTCACTTTCAGAGATAAAGAAAAAAATTAGAGCACTTACTCAGACTAAAGAAGATTGACAGTATTCATTTAAAAAGACAAGGTGGGTAAGGTAATATCTTTTATTGGACCAACTTCTGTCTCTCTCATCAACAGAATTGGTTCAGTAAGAGATATCACTTCATCCACATTGTGTGTTTAATATCCTGGGACCAACACAGCTACAAAAACACAGCATTAATTTAAAACATGAATCAGTTACAAAGACAATTATTTACAAGAAGTTTGTGAAGCAGACTGAACTGCTTTATAGTTTTCTCATGATTTAGTACAATCCCTGTTGACATGCATTAAAGCTACAGATTGATGTGTATTCTTGTTAGGCACACAGTAGAACAAAAAAGTGTCACTTTTCAGTTTCTGTTAAACAGCAAAGTCTGCCAAAATATCACAAATGTTCCCAATTAACAGATCATTTCTAAGACAAAGTGGTAATCATGGCAAATAGATACAAACAACAATTAGCACTGCTTAACAGTCATTGATTTTCTATCAGTGAGTCACATTCAAATATGAAGATAAGAAAGGACACTGACATTATGACTTAATAGTTGGCACTAATGAATGGAGGGTACCTATTTTCAGAGACAGACACTCTGAAGGACATGGGGCTGCTCTATAATAATATTTGAATACTGTATTGTGTGCTATATGTTTGATTGTTGTCAGGGAAGTTTACTGTATGGATGTTGGTTTAGTTTAATAGCAGGCTGTTAAAAAAAACAAGCAGGAAGGCAAAACAATGACTAAAGAAGTGGGCTTGACCTCAATGGAGCCCACCAAATAGGTTTTGAGCAGCAGAGTCCAAGCACAGGAATGTGAGAAGACAACTTCTGGCTGGCTAAAAGGACTCTCTGGCCAACAGTCAGGTGGTTATCGGGAAGTTGTTTATGGGAAACAGACTGACACCTGACATGGTGTCTGACAAAGCTAAGCCTTTCTAGGCTCCTCTGGCAGGGTGGAAGGGCTTAGATAAGACAGACAGCATGTAGGCCTTTTGTTGTTTAAAAATCCTCTCTCTCTCTCTTATGTTTTACTTTGTTGCTAACTGTTAAGATTAAAAAATACTTTTGTTTTCAGAAGGCTGTCTGGTCATTGTATTTGCCACTGGTAACAAGCTCCCAAAGGAAGACCAGCAGGTGCTGAATGTAGTTGGACCTGCTGGCATAAGCATACTTGATCCAATGTAGCCCATGACCCACTCTAAATGTGGGAGAATCACCACCCCAGGGGAAGTAAACACCTCAGGCTCAGGACCTGAGGGGGTAACACTCAGACCAGACAGTGGTCAAAAGTGCAGTTATCCCTGTAACCATGACAGCCACCATGCCATAAGTTTCTTATTTGGAAATAAAGGATAAAGCTGTCCCCATATAATACAACTTGCCTATGTTTTCCATTGTTTACATTGCTGAGCTTATTAAATATTTTAATTTGGACACAGCAGTGAGGAAGTTTTGGTAGAAGAACTTTTGCTTTCCCCAAGAGTTACATGAATTTTTCTTTGTAAGATGAAGGTAAACAAATAGGCTGCTGACCACAGGATCCAACACTATGTCAGTGACTGGAAATGTTTTATTGGCTACAAATCTTAAGTATTTAGGACCTAACCCTGGCATAGATTCATTCACAGAAACTATAAAGAGCTACAGTGGCATAAATACATTTCCTATAATAGTACATCTCCTAAGTTTTCAGTTTCAGTAACGTTATCAAACACTTCTAAAAACTCCATCCACAACAAACAAAACTATTTAGCCCACAATAAAACTGACAGACTGTTGGTTTTCCTTTACAAAAGTTACTCTAAGTACATTGTTGACAATGCAACGGAATGTCACTCATGAAAAGTGGCCTGATTCACTACTATATTGGAGCTGCTCTGCACCACTTTGGGTGCACAAAACAATCCTGAGTCCAACTTAACTGGCCACTGAAAGATCTCTTGATCACGGAGCTCCTAGGTCACCCTTAATTCCAGCTAGAGGGGCTCTGGTGAGGAAAAAAGTGCTGCAAGGACCAGGAATATTCCTTTATTTGGCAAAATCCTGGCTACTGTAAGGGCCCAGAGGGTCACTGGCAACAGACAGATTAAAGCAGTTTACAGGCTACTCTAACACACACCAGTGTCTGGACAACCCAGAATTTGGGAGGAGAGTCCTCAGACTGGAGAAGATAGCACAAGATATTAGTTTAATATAGTGAACAGTATGTGTGCAGGCTTTTTTCTGCATGCTCAAATGTAAGTAATTGCCATGTATTTAGATTAACAGAACTGTAAATAAATAGCAGATGCCTTACAATTAACTGGAAAAAAAAAAAACCTGTATGCATACCTTTCAATTATACCGGGTTTAACAACCTGATTGTGAATGACTAAACTAGGCGCAGGAATGAACCATGAGCCCTGTCACAGAATTCAGATCTGCTTTATCCATAGTACAATGAGTAAGAATACAGATCAATATTTTGAACAGACTTTAGGAAGTCAACCAGTAGAGAAGAGTTGCTTGAGTTTTAGTGCTTATTTACATTCCTTACTCTGTGTCTTTTCTTCTTGTCCTCTTCTCAGTGTGTTTTCTCTTCCTCCTTGTTGCCTTAGCGTAAATAGGTCACCTGATGATGGCAGAGACACTGGAGTCAGAAAATGGCAATAGAGCACACACCCTAGTACAGGTTTCAGAGGGGTAGCCGTGTTAGTCTGTATCAGCAAACGAGGAGTCCTTGTGGCACCTTAGAGTAACAAATTACTTGGGCATAAGCTTTCGTGGGCTATAACCCACTTCATCAGATGCATGGAGTGAAAAAACAGTAGGCAGGTATAAATATACAGCACATGAAAAGATGGGAGTTGTCTTACCAAGTGGGGGGTCAGTGCTAATGAGGCCTACTGTATTTTCACTCCATGCATCTGATGAAGTGGGTTATAGCCCACAAAAGCTTATGCCCAAGTAATTTGTTAGTCTGTAAGGTGCCACAAGGAGTCCTCGTTGTTTTACAGTACAGAATCTGACAGTGCTGGTGCTAGTTAGAGTGCATTTTATTTATTATGAACATTTTCATTTATGAGTTATACTAAAAAAAGGGAAAGAGATGGATGTGGGGGTTTTCTTAAGTGAACTTGGTAGATTTACCTGTGCTAAAATTTTAATGCATATCACAGTAACTTAAGAGCTCTCAGAAAACCCAAGGCAAACAATATGTCCAAAATTTGAAAATGCCTTTTTTAATATTAATATAAAATGACATTCCTAAAATTTATCCGTGTCCTGTGCAGAGATGAGAATTTTACCAAGTGGGTAATCTATTATAAGAGACATTCAAAGAGCATATATATACACACACCTACCTTAATTATATCACTTCTCCATGGCGCTCTGGTGCTGGAAGTTTAAGATGACACTCATTAATGGGTGTGACAATGATTATACCTACTTATCTTTTGGATTTCTATAAATCCTGTTACAGTTGTATCTAGTTTATTTGTACTGTGATTTACAGATTTTTTCCCCCCCTAGTAAAAATTATTAACATTATTTGCTTGCAGCAGATGGACTATTTGATATGAATTGCACTTGTTATTCATTTAGTAAGGTTAGTACTGTCTCTAAAGTACTGTGTTATCTGTCAAACTTAAACCTGTAAACAAAGGTTATCTGAGGGTAAAAAAGTAATTTTAACTTGCTAAAGACACTTCTAAGAAAATGTCAAAGATAACAGATTCCATCATTAGTTTTAGGATGAAGCAGGCATGTATTCAATTTAAATGGCTAAACTTCAAAGGGACACTTTGAAATGGGAAGGTGCCTTTTTTGTATTCATAGAGATTGGGAAGAAGTTATACAAGGTTTGTAGGATTTTAATTAACTATGGTGTAATAGAGACTATATGGTTATGTGTTTACATTTAAGGTAACAGATGAGACTGTCCAAACATGCTAACCACAGATTTTAAACTTCTTAGAAAAAACTCCACAAGGCAACTGGAATTCAGTTGGAGGGGGAGAAGAAAAAAAGAGGACACTGACTACAGATACTGAACTGTCTATCATGTGAAGTTTTTATCTTATTTAGCTAATAGATTACAATCCAAATGCGAGGTCTGAGCTTGCTAAACTATCTGCAATATTTAGACTAGTTATGTTTGTATTCTGCTTAAAACTTTTTATTATTTTCTCTTTTCTATGCTAAGTAAACTTATACTTTCAAAATAAGTGAAGTTGGTGGAACAGACTGCTATGCTGGGGATAAACTCTGGGAAAGAGGCTGATCTCTGACTTCCAAGAAGGCAGTCAGCATTGACACTCAAGCCTAAACTGGGCAACTGCAGGGCTAACTTCAAAAAAGTGCTGAGACTACGCTGGCTACAGGCAGTTTGAGCAGAGGGAAAACTTCAAGGATATTAGGGCAACTGTTGGCATTATTGTGCAAAACTGCCCTAAAGCAAGAATGCCCCCAGCATATGGGAATCCTCAAGTGGCACAGCAATGCTGTAACAGCTCCTACACCAGCCCAAACCCTGCAGCTGATGTCAGGGCACAGGGCTGCCTCTGCCATATCCCAGTGATCTTCGGCAGCCAGAAATGTCCCCTTCATGCTGTGTGGGCAGCTGGTGCATAGCTTTTAAGATGCCTTTGCACCTCCCTGTCCTGCAACTGCATGAAGTCCTCTTTTACTGTAGCAGAGGATCAGGGTCAAAATTCTCTAGATGTGAATGTATTTCATCAACATATGTTTACTAACTGCAGTCACAAAAACTCTGAACTGGTACCAATCTCTGTTCAGTTTCAGTAAGTCAGGATATTTTCTTAGGAGATAGTAAAAGGAATATGTGGGTTACATTCCTGAAATGACTATTGCTTCAATTTTCTGAAACACAACTGTGAAATAGGATTTTGATTCAATTTATATTAGAACAGCTTTTTGCCAATATGAACAGAAAAAAACAGGAGTCTATAACTATGTTATGGAAAAGTGTTTTAGCCATCAGTCAAGACCTGATTATGGCCTAACACGGTATTAGGCTTTTTCCCAGATGATTTGCAAAACAGTTATGTCAGACTGGCATGAACTTTACAAAAGTTTTCACTGAGTCCCTCCTCCACTACTCATATTATTTCTGTTTTCAATAGAGAGCAACCACTTAAATCCTATGGGAGATTCTACAATACAAACAGGGTTGCCTTAGATGGACATTCAAAGTTTCTAGCAAAAACTGTAACAGTATCATGCATTCCTAGAATACAGTCTATTTTTAAATTTAAAAGATACAGTACATTTTAGAGAGCAGCTTTTAGGTAATATGCAGCAATACTGTTTTATTTAACAAATGGAGTCTTAAAACTATCAAGTTGTATGCTATCAAAAAAATTAAAGAAATACAAAACATGTTTGATGTATAGTTTTGTATAGGTTTGAAATAAGACTTTTTTACGGTAACCCTCCAAATGTACTGGAACTCAATTTTTACTTAAACGTTGTGTGTCATTTTTTTGCTGCTTCATGATATATATTACAAAGCCTGGATTTCTTCTTTATTTTTTATTTAAACAAAAACTTAAAAACCCTGCATGGAGGTTAGTGTGCCCAACCTTGTCTTATCCTGGAAGACTTTATGGAGACAGGAGAACCAGTGAAACAAGAGTCAGAGTCAAGAAACAAAGATGAGAACTGAGGGTTTGGTTAGACTAGGAAAAGGAGTTAAGGTTAGTCCCTAGTGTAGTATTAAGTTATCACTGTGACGTTGTGCAGTCTATATGGTTTTATAAAAACATGATAATAAGTGAATATAATGTAACTGGGATAGTTTTATAAAGATTTGATGATAAGTGAATATAATGCAACTGGGATATGCTTCGTGCAAAAGGTCTCTTGTAAGGTATCATTACAAAGCTCATAATCTACTGAGTGTGATCATCCTATCTGTAGAAATGTACCACTCTTGTATTTAAAACTAGAAATATAAAACATAACTCTGAGGGCCTATTGTAATTATGTAAAGTGTGGGCCATTAATGATGGTTTGGAATCTTGATGACTCCCATTAACAAGGACCTGTATATGTGTGTGCTGGCAAGTGGGCAATGAAGTCTTGCAGTGACATGTGATCATGTCACCTGAACTGGAATCCATCTTTAACCTGGTGCTTTTCCAGTGAGGGGGGGTGGAAACCCAGAGGGACAAAGGGTTCCCGCCTTATGCAAAAGATATATAAGTGGGTGGAACAGAACAAAGTGGGGAAACCATCATGAGAAATCCCCTAGCTACCACCTGAGTTGGAACAAGGGCTGTACCAGGGGAAAGGATTGTGCCCAGACTAGGAAGGTGTCCAGTCTGTGAAAGAAACTTATTGAAACATCTCTGAGCATGAGATTTTATCTGTATTCAGTTTTATTACTGTATTAGGCTTAGATTTGCGTGTTTTATTTTATTTTACTTGGTAATTCACTTTGTTCTGTCTGTTACTACTTGGAACCACTTAAATCCTACTTTCTGTATTTAATAAAATCACTTTTTACTTATTAATTAACCCAGACTATGTATTAATACCGGGGGGGGGGGGAAGGAGTATAAGCTTTATACAGGGTAAAATGGATTTATTTGGGGTTTAGACCCCATTGGGAGTTGGGCATCGGAGTGTTAAAGACAGGAACACTTCTGTAAGCGGCTTTCAGTCAAGTCTGCAGCTTTGGGGCATGTGGTTCAGACCCTGGGTCTGTGTTAGAGCAGACTGGCATGTCTAGCTCAACAAGACAGGGTGCTGGAGTCTCAAGCTGGCAGGGAAAGCAGGGACAGAAGTATTCTTGGCACATCAGCTGGCAGTTCCCAGGGGGTTTCTGTGATCCAACCCGTCACAGTCCCCTTCAGCTACCACCAGCAGGCATCTCAACAGCTGACTAATGTTACACTAGAGACCAAAGTCCTTAAATCAGGAGGAGTCCCCCATTGTGCTAAGCACCATACAAACCATTAAGAATGCCCAGTTCCTATCCCCCAGATCTCAATCTAATCCTTATAATTCCATATGGCAGGCAGGCATGTATTATTATTCCCATTTTACAGCAATGAGAACTGAGGCACAGCGTCTAAACACAGACTGGAATTTTAAAAAGATATCTACAAACTCTAAATAATAAACAAAACTCCATTTTTTCTCAACCTTAAAATGTGGAGTTTTCTTGGTGTTTGGTTTTAAATATTCTCCTGTGAGAATCATAGAATATCAGGGTTGGAAGGGACCTCAGGAGGTCATCTAGTCCAACCCCCTGCTCAAAGCAGGACCAATTCCCAACTAAATCATCCCAGCCAGGGCTTTGGCAAGCCTGACCTTAAAAACCTCCAAGGAAGGAGATTCCATCACCTCCCTAGGTAACCCATTCCAGTGCTTCACCACCGTCCTAGTGAAAAAGTTTTTCCTAATATCCAACCTAAACCGCCCCAACTGCAACTTGAGACCATTACTCCTTGTTCTGTCATCAGGTACCACTGAGAACAGTCTAGATCCATCCTCTTTGTAACTCCCTTTCAGCTAGTTGAAAGCAGCTATCAAATCTCCCCTCATTCTTCTCTTCTGCAGACTAAACAATCCCAGTTCCCTCAGCCTCTCCTCATAAGTCATGTGCTCCAACCCCCTAATCATTTTTGTTGCCCTCCGCTGGACTCTTTCCAATTTTTCCAGATCCTTCTTGTAGTGTGGGGCCCAAAACTGGACACAGTACTCCAGATGAGGCCTCACCAATGTAGAATAGAGGGGAATGATCACGTCCCTCGATCTGCTGGCAATGCCCCTACTTACACAGCCCAAAATGCCGTTAGCCTTCTTGGCAACAAGGGCACACTGTTGACTCATATCCAGCTTCTCATCCACTGTAACCCCTAGGTGCTTTTCTGCAGAACTGTTTCCTAGCCATTCGGTCCCTAGTCTGTAACAGTGAATGGGAAGTGCAGGACTCTGCACTTGTCCTTGTTGAACCTCCTCAGGTTTCTTTTGGCCCAAACCTCTAATTTGTCTAGGTCCCTCTGTATCCTATCCCTACCCTCCAGCATATCTACCACTCCTCCCAGTTTAGTGTCGTCTGCAAACTTGCTGAAAGTGCAGTCCACGCCATCCTCAAGATCATTAATGAAGATATTGAACAAAACCGGCCCCAGGACCGACCCTTGGGGCACTCCGCTTGAAACCGGCTGCCAACTAGACATGGAGCCGTTGATCAATACCCGTTGAGTCCGATGATCTAGCCAGCTTTCTATCCATCTTATAGTCCATTCATCCAACCTATACTACTTTAACTTGCTGGCAAGAATACTGTGGGAGACCATATCAAAAGCTTTGCTAAAGTCAAGGAATATAACACATCCACTGCTTTCCCCTTATCCACAGACCCAACTTCAACTCAATCACTGTAGTGTGTTTAAGAGCCTTCTGGAAAGTAAATAGCCTTTAAACAGAAGAGAAAGTAACTTGAAAATGTCAGTTTCACTCCCATTTAAACTCAGTTTCTAGTCCATTATTATTTGTACTACCGTAATACCCCTAGAATCCCAGATAGGTGCAGTATAAACTCACGGGGACTTGCCCTAGTAGGGTGTTTCCAAAAGTTAAATGATCTATTCCAATTTTGGGATTGGGAATATCTTGCTATATTAACTCATCATTGTTCTAAATTTAAATATAAACTTAAATGTGGCTTTAATTGGTGTTTGTATGTATTTTTTCTTTCTTTATATAGGAATTAGATACAGGGCTCCTGTCAGCTAATTTCTAAGTTATTAACTGGGGGGGGAGGGGGGGAGAGGGAGTTTTCAGGTGCCTAAGTAGCCCCTGGGATCATAGTTAAAGTTGCCTTTCCACCCCGAACAAAATCGGAAATGGTGCTCCTAACATGGTATGTGCACCATATAGAGATATCAAAGATTCCACAGTTATGGCACCATCTGATACAAGAAGCAATAACCGCAGCACTTAAACTAGAGGAAATAACAGGCATCTCAGATATTCCTGTGAGACTGTGATCTGCAAGTCTTTTAACAACCACCATTATAAATAAGTTTGGTTCCATGCCCACTCAGTGCTTTGAGCCTCTGCTGACTGCCCAAGTATTTTCCAGTTAGTGCCAGTTGTGATATTGTTTTTTGTACTGAGGACATATTCCTCACCAACACCTGGAATGAAATCAAGTAATTTACAGAAAAAATGAGTAAATACAGATGTTCTTTTACACCTCTTCATTCTTTGGATTGTGGAAGCCACCATAAGAGATAAATGGATTTTATTTCAATTTAAACCTTAAATATAGAATATAAATAAATTATTGGGTAAGAGTCTGGTTGGTTAAGAATCTGGCTGGGTACTGTTAATCTTGACAAATTAACTAAAAGGTGGTAATAAATCTTTATAGATGTATTTTCTCTTTGTGACATTTTTAACCAATGTGTGTTTAAATATGTGGCTATTCATATTCTACCTCTCAACAAAAGAAATCAGTGAGAATATATCTGACCCTCTCACCGGATCCTACTTTCCATGTCAGTCTATAATCTTTAATACCCACCTGTTATTCTGTGCTAGTTCTCCCTCTTGCTCCTTGTCTGACAGGTGTGGCAGGCACTTCTCCATTGACACCTTCAACACCATTAACAGACATCAAGCTTTTCCGCTCTTTGGATGTAGATTTGTGCTCTACTTTTGTGACTCTAAATCTGAAACAAGCAATACAAGAACCCACTTAGGATAGGTTGGTTGTTTTTTCTCCAGAAATCAGCTAATCAATCTTCAACATCCCAATGAGGCAAGTATTATCCCAACTACATAGATGGAAAACAAGATATTTTAAAGCGGCATTCCAAGAATACAGCAGGAAGGAAGTCTAAAGTTGGGAATTCCTATCTCAGACTCTAGTGTTTGGACCATACCTACCTCTCTTGGAAAAAAAGAAGATCTCTAATTTTAAGAAAAGACTACACTATTGGTTGAGCAATCATGAATAGTCCAAAAGCCAAAAAAACCAAACTAGAGGGAAAATTGCATCTTCTGTATTTGATACTTACTGTAAAGAAAGTCAAGAGAAGGATGAAGATCTATCTGTAATTCTTGCTCTCTTTTTAGGCAATTGTGTTACTGGATCCACAGCTTTGGATTTCTACTCACACTATGAAGGGATTTTAAAAAATTCCACAGCACAAAATTCTAAAGCCACCTGGCTCTGAGGCAAAGTATAATTTATTAGTGTACTTGACTAGATTAAAAAGAAACATATTAACCATATTAGCCCACACTGAAGTGAAATTCACTTAATTTTGCTCCTTAAGCATCTTCCATTTCCATCCCCTCAAAGAAAGCGTAAACACTCAGAGACACACAACGTCACAGATATCAGGGTCCACATGCAATCCAAGCACTAAACTGCAAATACTCATGTCAACATGCTATGCACATGAGCAGAAGAGAGGAAGAACCTGAGTCCAGGTCTTCTGTGGTTCCTATGATGGTGAAGGAATTCATCCATAAAAAAGATCCTATTATGAGGGAAAATTGGAGCTTGTAGACTTCCCCACCTAAGAGTTATCTCTATCAGGGTGTGTGTGGGAGGTGTGGGGGGTGGGGGGGGGACAGTAATATGCACACACGTGTGCTGGAACCCTAAAGCTCTAAAGACCTGAATGTTATTGAAGTATGGGGACCCATCAAGAATTTCATGACAACAGCAGATAAGTTCAAGACGCAGGTCTTCAGGCCTCATTTCATGCCTTCTGGGAGGTGGTACGGGGGGCGGATAGGGATAGCTCAGTGGTTTGAGCATTGGCCTGCCAAACCCAGGGTTGACAGTTCAGTCCTTGATCTGGGACAAAATCAGTACCTGGTCCTGCTAGCGAAGGCAGGGGGCTGGACTCTATGACCTTTCGGGGTTCCTTCCAGCTCTATGAAATAGGTAACCTCTAACCTGAGCAAGGAGACTGTGACTAGGATGGGAAGCCAGAGGAGTGGCATGGCTAGATGAAGAAAATGGAAGAATTCTTCCATCTTGCATCTACAGATGGGTTAGATCAACCTAACAACATCACAAAGGGAATGAAAATTTTCATTGCGCAGAGCAATGTAGTTAGAATGACCTAAGTTTTAGGTGTAGACCAGGCTTTAGACTGCAAGTTCCTTTGGGCGGGGGCCGTCTTTTTATTCTGCATTTGTACAGCATCTAGGAGAATGGGGTCCTGGTCCATCACTAAGGCTCCAGACACTAATGGTAATACAAATTAATAATTAATCATTAAAATTCTTTAGTTTGCCAGTATGCTCCTCCGAATCCCAATAAAAAAAAATTTGATCAAAAAAGAGAACTAGTGAACTGACAAAGTTTGGATTTACAGGTCAGACATCTGATGTCTAGGGAAACAACACAATGCCTCAAAAGTTAATTACAGTCTTGCAATTCCGAAAAATCCATGTGCTGGGCTGTGACAAGAATCGTTACAGAAGTAGGTGATAGCAGCATGTAACTAATCCAACAGTGAGAGTCAGATGAGATAACATGTAAATAAAGCATGAAACAAAACAAAACAGAACAGTCTTACCTTCCCACAGAAAGTACTGTAACTTCTCCTTGTCGGCTTTTTTTAGGTTCTTTAGTTTTGTTGGTTGGCTTTAAAAGGTGCCATCTTTTGTGACTACAGCGACTACAAACATCCTTCTCTACTACTCCCCCAACTGTATGCAAGTGATGGCCACGACAGTTATGTTTTGATGGAGTATCACCTGGTGACAAAGGAGAGCCTGGACTTGTAGGACTGCCTGGAGTGGTAGGAGACACAGGGCTATTTTTAAAAACAAAAAAAATAATTAACAATGTTTAACTTTAGTTGCATATATTTGTTCTTCTTAGAAATAGGGTTTCTTTAAATTTAAATAATTGTCCCACTTTATTCTCTGATCACATACCCTAGGGTTGTATTCAGCTAGTGTTAAATTTAGATTGTTTTTTCCCCCTCACAGAAGGTAGTTTTAGCTAACAAAAAGATACTTTTCCACAGCAGACTAATGTCAATGATTTATTCCAGCCTTCCCCCGCCCACTTTTACTAGAGAAGAGCACCAGCAGACACCCCTCTCCAGCAAAAGGGCAGTTTTGCAAATTCACATACACATCTTCATTTTCTCTTGTGAAAAGTCAAAGAGAAGCCAAAACCATTTAGTTGTTCAAATTTTAAGTCAACCACACACTCCTGCATCATCAGCAAAGATTATTTTGAAATTGGCCCATATTTGAAAACGGACATCTCTCAAGATTGTAAAGATATTTTCCTCAAAAAATTGCTCCAAGTAAAATAAGAGGTAAAACGAAGGAGAAGGAACAAAGTGTGTAAATAATGCATACAGAGGGCTGATTTACACACAGTCTTTGTACTACTATAATTATATTTGTTTAGAAAATGGTATAATTAAAAGTGGAATCACCCTCTTCAGCATGGCTGCAGTTGTACCAGCCTACAGGTGTTTATATCAGTGCTGATATAGCTAAACATATTTTATCAATACAGACACAAGCACCTTTAGAGACTGGTACAACTGCATTCACACTAAGGGTATGTCTACACTGGCAAGTTTCTGCACAATAAGTTATACCACTTTTATTAAAGCATTGGAATTAAACCGCTGTTGCGTGTCCACACTGTGCTCCTTGTGACTGTGGAGCGCATCCACATTAGCAGCTCTTGCAATGGCAAAGAGAGCCGTCAGTGCATTGTGGTAGTTATTCCACTGTGCAACTGGCAACAGGATGCTTTGGGAGGGGTTTGCAATGCCTCAGGGGGCAGGCACAGCATCACATGATGTAGGTTTCCCAGTCCCATTGTTCCATGGGCATCCTATTACATTGCCAACTGCTTTTCAACTGAAAGGGGGGGAGGGCAGAGGGTGCGACAGGGAGAGTATGTGTGTATGGAGGTGGGGAGAAGAGACACTGTGTTTTGGTGGACAGAGAGTGTGTCAGCATGCTGTCTTGTAAGTTCAGACAGCGGCAGGAAGCAACCAGGACTCAGACAGGGTGAGGGAGAAACCCCCAACATCAGCATCTGCCTTCCTCCCTGGGCTGGCTGGCTGGCTGTCTCTCTCTCTCTCTCTCTCTCTCACACACACACACACACACACACCCACACCCTTCTGTGTTCAACAGCACAAGCATTCCACATTAATGGCTTGCTTTGTGTCCCGGAGCAGATCAGCACAGCATACAAGGGCTGTCGGAAATGGAGCTTTAAAATGGGACGGGCGCATGTCTCCAGGGCAGCCAAGTTCAAAACAATGAGCAGAGCAGCCACTTGAGGGATTATGGGACACTTCCGGAGGCTAAATGATTGCCTTCTACGCTGTAATGTGTTTACGCTGCCAATACAGCACTGGACCCTCTGTGCTGTAAGGCTTACGACTCTTGTTGCGGTGTTTTTTTGGCAACACTGCAACTGAGGAGTTTCTGCACACCAAGTGACTTGGTGGTGTGTACACCTCGGTAGTTACACCACAGAAAGCTGCTTTACTGCGCAGAAACTTGCCAGTGGAGACAAGGCTTAAGGAGGGTTGTTCCACTTTAACTATCAAACTACAAATCAAGCCTCTAGAAAGCTACTCTCTCTTCCCCTCATCTTTCAGATCAGCCTCTAGCAATCTGGGTTAGTCCTCTAGCTGTTAAGTGTTGGGTTAGTTTTTCAAGCCCTAGCCTTGTTTTAAATAATTAAACAAGTGTGCAAAGGCACTATGAGTTACTGTCAATTTTCAGTCCCCAGTATGATAGATTTCTACTGTAAATCTCAATGCATACACACAGAATTGAAAGTTCCTCAGAAAAGTTTCTCTCAGAAGAGAAAGGAAATCTTAGTGAATCAGAGAAAAATAAGAATGAAATCAAAATATTTTCTTTTCAATCAATGACTCGGGCATGTGGGAGCAAAAGAATAGAAAAAACTTGATTAGCAAGTAAAGTAATTTGTGGCAATCTGTACTTTTTCTAATAAGAGATATAGATACCTTGTTTTTAGGAAATCAAATGTACATTTCCAGTTTTGATAAAAATGGACACTACATAAACTTACAGGAGTAGTGTTACAAGAATGTATGCATTTTTTATTAAAAAAAAAAAGTAACTGCATCTTTGAAGTAGCATCCCTGTGATTAAGCTCCCAAATGACTGCTATTGAACGTTATTCAATCTAAAACTAGAGTGAACAAACGTTCAGTTATCATAATAGCATTTAAAGGATTCAAATTTCACTGAGATTTCAGTTTTAATTAACATAGAATCATTGGCAGGGTACATCTTGACATGCAGAGGAAATATACACAGTTAAAATAGAAAGACCTTACCTTTCAGGATCACACACACTGTTATCTGCCACCATGGCCTTTAACATATCAGCATTTGCTGTAAAAAGCATAAACAGAAATTGTTAGAAGAAATGTGTTGCTATGTCCTTGTATAATCAAAAAAGATAGTAAAAAGTAAGCAAGCTGAAGATTCTAATTTTGACCCAGAACCCACTTAGCAAAAGTGCATTAACAGCAATCTCACAGCTGAACTGAAGGGCTCTGAATTTAGTTCCATCTAGACCAGAGAAGTCTGCATTATGGAATCTCCAAAAGGAAAGATGCCAAAGGCATCAAGGTCCCTTCCAGCCTACGATTCTATGAAATGCCGATTTATTGAAATTTATGGGCGTTTATATTGAGAAGGTAAAGTTACTCTTGCTATAGAACACATATCTCAGTCCCAATA